ATCTCTTCAGCCAGGGATCTTTAGACAAACCTATTCTAACTACAAACAAACAAAAAGACTCCACACATCGGAAACTTTAGCTTTCATAACTCTTTAGTCTGGAAACTTACAGTTTCTCATCTCTTCAGCCAGGGATCTTTAGACAAACCTATTCTAACTACAAACAAACAAAAAGTCTCCTCACATCGAAAACTTTAGCTTTCATAACTCTTTAGTCTGGAAACTTACAGTTTCTCATCTCTTCAACCAGAGATCTTTAGACAAACCTATCTCTTAACATCGGAAACTAGAGTTTCTCAGATCCTTAGTCTGGAAACTTCACAGTTTCTTAGTTGTTCAGCCAGGAAACTGAAGATTTGCTCAGTTCCCAATATCTTCTCAACTCATTTGTCATGAATCTTTAGTATTGCTCAACTCCTAAGCCAGGGATGTTTAGTCTTAACGAGATCCTCCTATCGAGAGCTTTAGATTTTTTCAACTTCTTACTCCAGGAACTTTACGGTTTCTTAGCTCATCAGGTGAGGATCTTTAGAATTTATCCTCTTCTCACCAGAATATCTTTCAGATTGTTTTCGTTCCTCATTCTCTAGGTTTATGAGGTTCCTAATGCACCTTGTGTTTCTAGCTTCTAACTTGACTCACGTGGCTAAGTTTTACGTGATTTAACATAATAAGTGTTCTTCTAAATGCCTTTATGATTTCATTGATTCAAATTCGGTACGTTTTAGATGTGTTATAGACAGTTGTACTACATATGCTAATTTGACCACCCCTATGTGTTAATAATTCAATTATTTTTACTCTAATTTTTACATTGAGGCTTTCTAGAAAATATTCACATAATTATATTGTGTGTCCACAGTTGTGAGATGAGGGAAACTTGCGTCGTCTCAGCTTCTAGCGCCATCTTTGGAGATCCTTGTCCCGAAACCAGGAAGTACTTGGAAGCACATTACCAGTGTGTAGCAGGTGAGAAACTAATGTGTAGCAGGTGAGAGACTAAAGACTTTCGTGGGAGAAACTAACGTGTAGCAGGTGAGAGACTAAAGTCATTCATGGGAGAAACTAACGTGTAACAGGTAAGAGACTAAAGTATTTCGTGGGAGAAATTAACGTGTAGCAGGTGAGAGACTAAAGTTTTTCGTGGCAGAAACTAACGTGTAGCAGGTGAGAGACTAAAGTCTTTCGTGGGAGAAACTAGCGTGTAGCAGGTGCGAGACTAAGGTCATTCATGGGAGAAACTAACGTGTAGCAGGTGAGAGACTAAAGTATTTCATGGGAGAAACTAACGTGTAACAGGTAAGAGACTAAAGTCTTTCGTGGGAGAAATTAACGTGTAGCAGGTGAGAGACTAAAGTCTTTCGTGGGAGAAACTAGCGTGTAGCAGTTGCGAGACTAAGGTCATTCATGGGAGAAACTAACGTGTAGCAGGTGAGAGACTAAAGTCTTTCATGGGAGAAACTAATGTGTAGCAGGTGAGAGACTAAAGTCATTCATGGGAGAAACTAATGTGTAGCAGGTGAGAGACTAAAGTCTTTCGTGGCAGAAACTAACATGTAGCAGGTGAGAGACTAAAGTCTTTCGTGGGAGAAACTAGCGTGTAGCAGGTGCGAGACTAAGGTCATTCATGGGAGAAACTAATGTGTAGCAGGTGAGAGACTAAAGTCTTTCATGGCAGAAACTAACGTGTAGCAGGTCAGGAAAAAATCTGTAGTTTTAACACTAAACATCTCGTCAAAATACCTTACTGAAGTACGTATATCAATTTCAAAATATCATCAGAGTTACTAATTACTAGGATTCTAGACCGTGTTGATTTGTTAATCAATAGTTATTTGTAAGCAAAAAATTCCAGTCATATTATTCGTTCTTGTAAAAACCCTTACGGTTATTGTTTAAACTATGAGATATATTCTCTGTAACTTATTGTTTCCAGCTATTGTTTTATATTTTCCCACTCGACAAGTTTTTGAATAAGTGTATCGGTTTTGCAAAGTGTGTTTTATTTTATTAATTCCGAACAATCTCTGTTCTTTAGTTTTATTGTACTATTGATTTAAAGGTTCTAGTTAAAACATGGTTCTCTGCATTGGGTAAGTCTGAATTGTTTTATTAATGTATCACGGTTTCTATAGTTTAGTTTTATTGTATTGTAGTAATTAAAACTTGTTTCTCTGAATTGTTTTATTAATGTACCACGGTTTCTATAGTTTAGTTTTATTGTATTGTAGTAGTTAAAACTTGTTTTTCTGATTTGTTTTATTAATGTATCACGGTTTCTATAGTTTAGTTTTATTCTATTGTAGTAGTTAAAACTTGTTTCTCTGATTTGTTTTATTAATGTATCACAGTTTCTATTGTTTAGTTTTATTGTATTGTAGTAGTTAAAACTTGTTTCTCTGATTTATTTTATTAGTGTATCACGGTTTCTATAGTTTAGTTTTATTGTATTGTAGTAATTAAAACTTGTTTCTCTGATTTATTTTATTAGTGTATCACGGTTTCTATAGTTTAGTTTTACTGTATTGTAGTAGTTAAAACTTGTTTTCTTAATGTAGAAGCATTTCTATATTTCAATTGTATTGTAGTATTGATCTGGTGGATTTTCGTTTAAACATGGTTCTCTTTGCCACAGTTATGTGTTTTCTTTCATTGATATACAGCACTATATGTAGGTTAGTTTTATCGTGCTTCTGAGTTGGGTGTTGTAGTTAAACCTATTTCTATGTATTATAGTGGTTTGTTTTGTTTCATTGATCTGAAATAATTTCCTTAGTTTAGTTTTTTTCTACTACTGATATGACGTGTTGTAATTTAATCCTGTGTCTCTTTATTGTAGTGTTTTTTGTTTGTTTTATTAATGTGGAACAATCTCTGTAACTTAGTTTTATTGTACTGTTGACTTGGTTGGTTTTAGTTTAAACCTGTTTCTACGTTACTGTAGAATGGTTTGTTTTATTAATGTGGAACAATCTTTGTAACTTAGTTTTATTGTAGTGTTGACTTGGTTGGTTTTAGTTTAAACCTGTTTCTATGTTACTGTACAATGGTTTGTTTTATTAATGTGAAACAATCTTTGTAACTTAGTTTTATTGTACTGTTGACCTGGTTGATTTTAGTTGAAACCTGTTTCTATGTTACTGTAGAATGGTTTGTTTGATTAATGTGGAACAGTATCTGTAGTTTAGTTTTATTGTACTGTTGAACAAGTAAGCTGTAGTACAAACCTGATTCTGTGTGTTTCAACAATATCTTTAGTTATATTTGCTTTCAACAAGCTCTGTAGTTTGTTTTATTGTACTATTGATGCGATGGGCTTATGAATAATATCTGTAGTTTGTTTTGTTGTTCTGTTGATGTGATAGGCCCTATGAACAATCTCTGTAGTTTGTTATATTGTACTGTTGATGTGATGGGCTGTATGAACAATCTCTGTAGTTTGTTATATTGTACTGTTGATGTGATGGGCTGTAGGAACAATCTCTGTAGTTTGTTTTATTGTGATGGGCTGTATGAACAATCTCTGTAGTTTGTTATATTGTACTGTTGATGTGATGGGCTGTATGAACAATCTCTGTAGTTTGTTATATTGTACTGTTGATGTGATGGGCTGTATGAACAATCTATGTAGTTTGTTTTGTTGTTCTGTTGATGTGATGGGCTGTATGAACAATCTATGTAGTTTGTTTTGTTGTTCTGTTGATGAGATGGGCTTTAGCTTTCTTAGTTGCACGGATTATGTATAGTTCAGTATTCGAGTATCAAGTATTGTAATACTTGTGTTGAACTAGATATGGTATTTTATGTTGAATATAATACGTGAAAACTTCTCTTCTTTATGGCCACATTTTATTTTTTGCGAAATCAATTTTTTTATCAATAATTTCTACTAATATTATCGACCAGCACCAAGAGTGACATAAAAAGATTTGGGTCGATTGTCCCACGGTTCAAAGGTATAGAAGCTCTAATAGCACTTTTTTTTTATGAAATGAAGAATAAAACGGTAATAGTAAAGAAAAGGGTAAAATGAAATTCGGTAATAATGAAAAACTTATTAACTTCATATAACAGCTGCATGATAACAACAAAGGATTTACAGAACAATGTGGTGAACAATATGTTTACAGATATAATAATACATTATTGGAACAATAGGGAGATGGGGAGTGATGTACAGAATTAAATCTGTTGAGAAACATTTATTATAAAATTTCAAATACTTCTGTATACTTCTAGATACAAATCGAAGAGACGAGTCTGATACCTTGCCCAGTATCTAGTATTTACTCAACGTGAAAAACAGACTCGACTGAAATCTTCCATTTCTTATCTTCAAGTTAACACCGTTATTAACTTAAAAAGATATATTTTTTTGTTAGAATTTAGAAATGGCCACAATGATGATAAGAGTTCAGATAAATACCGTGTTTGTCTCCAACTTCCCCAAGCGACTACGCCTCATTGCTCTCTTGTGTTGGAACCGCCACAGAGAGCGCCACCTACATCTAATTACCACTGGCATTGCTTCAAAAGAATATTGTGAGCCAGTGAGTGCATTTATTAATATTAATCAACGTAGTTTTCATCAGCGTTAATAGGAAAATCGTGTAAATACGCAATTGAAGGAATAGTGGGTAGATGTTGGGTGTGTGAGGGGGTGAGTATAGGAAAACTTTGCTCTAAACTCTTTCAGGTCTTTGTTTTACCATTGCATCATCAGTTTAGTATTCTTCTGTTAGTGTTATGCCGACATCCAGTTGAGCAAAACGACATCTAACATAATATTAAAGCTTTTCGATATAATTATATTTTTATAAGATTTTTGTCTGTTTTAAACGTTTTTCAGGAAAGGGGCCTAAAAACGATGGAAAGTAAATAATTTAATAATGTTTTGGTAGCTAATATGAAAACCAATGCAAAATAAATGCTAATATGCTTAGCTTTCTGTTGTTGTTGGGTTTTTTTTTTGTAATAATATGTCGAGAATGTTAATTAACGGTTTAGACTTATTATATATATATATATCGTATTAGTATTTTTTCTCTTTGGATGAGTTATTTTGTTTTATTTGACTATTTGGTAAAAATAATGCCAAGTTCAGTTCACGTAACGATAACGAATTAATTTGTTTTCTACAACGTTTACTACAGGCTATGATCACTTCTACACGAGTTGTAGGCCTAAGTTTACAAACAATGTTTGAACAGAAATTCCGAGACTAACGCTACTGCTATCTTACAATTAGAGATAAATTTAGAAACTTTTTTTGCTAATCGATCGATTCTTTTAATAGACGCGATAACTCTTACTATAAACACTGAACTGAATCACTCGCTAAGTTCTTCGTTGGATTCTTAATGAATCTTCACATATTGATTACTCGTATTTATAATGTACTCTTGTTTCTCCACATTCCACGAAATTTCTTGATCATTACATCGTCATGAGTTTTTCTAACTATTCTAAGGCTACTTTCATGAACTTTCTAGAGCTAGCGTCATCATCGTGATCAACAGCTTTCTCTAGCAAACAACTAAGTCATAACATTGAAAATATAGCTTTCAATAATATACTTTTTAGGCCTATAAATGCTTTTGTCTCATCTCGACCGTTTATCAACATCTAACCACACTGAATGATGTACAGGAAGGATTTTGTTGTACAAAGTCAAGATACTGCTGAAGGATTAGGTCTTCACGCTGTACAAATCTAATTCAAACATGAAAAACGCTCTTAAGCCTGACGAATGTCGGAAATTCGCACACTTTGTAATACTCGCTAAGCCACGATGTGCAATCAGATGATGATAGGAAGTCAGAAAACTTGAAAGTCTCAGAAGATTTTCTTCTGGAACTGGAACTATTGATCACCACACCAGAGACAGCATGCTCCCTATATAATTTACAACAGACTATCAAAGTTCACTTGTTGTGTTCTGTACTTTAATCTGTGCTAACTGAACTAGTAAGATGTTTTCGAAATTGGAAACTGATTTGAAAACGTTGAGGCCTGACATAGCCTGATGATTAGGTGCGCTAATCTTACAATCTGCGGGTGACGGGTTCGAATCTTCTCACCGAAAATGTTCATACTTTTAACCTCGGAAACTATATAATGAAACGGTCAATCAAACTATCAGAATAGCCCAAGAGTTGGCTAAATTAAGAATGGATAACACTCGAGTAGCTTTTTGCGAAATTCAACAAAAAAAACATGAAAGAAGGAACCGTTGACGTCATTTACTCATACACGTTTGAAATAAATATAAGAAATTATAAAATCAAACAATTTATTCTTAAACTTATGACCATTAAATGAAATTTTTTTCTGGCGAGGTAATTTGATGAACTATTTGTCCTTATAAGTATAGAATTATATATGTACTTTAATTCTGTATGTTGTTGTTTTTATGTTACTTTGTTGTTAGTGTGAAATTTAATGATATTTACTCAAAATATTAGGCTTAGTATTCTACTCTGAAAATACTGAACCATTTGACAACCTTGTTATGTTTAATATTTTTCATCCTTCCGCTTTATAGATTCAACACCCGTGTCATCCACAACAACAACATTGTCAACAACAATTAAAACTACGACAGAACATAGACCACCAATAATACTACCAATTACCCAAAGTTTTCAACCGTTGGTTACTTCATCCACAACAGAGACAACATTGTCTTCCGAAACTCCAAGACATTTGCCAACATCACCCTCTCTTGATACAACAATAACGCCCTCACACGTCACAAAGCAAAAATCATCGTCATCTGTAGGAGACTCCGAACCCACTTCAGGCATTATTAACACTTATTCTGATAAAGGTAACGCTCTAACTATTTCTTTACTACATCGATGCACAAAACTGAAAAATCAAATGGGAGTAATTAAATAATGAATGAAAAATCTAACGATAATTAGGCTTAAAAATTTTTTAGCAACTTAACAACAACGAAGAACAGGCATTCTCTTACTTAATATTTATTATGTGATTTTAATTTAGCTGGTAATTAATAATTCTTATTGATAAACCGTTTCTTTAAACATTTTGTGTTAAAAAAAAGGTACATTAAGAGCAAAACGTATGAAAAAGTTGGTTAAAGAACATCATAAAAAGAACATTATAATGTTAAACATTAAACTATTTGATTTAAATCTCAAATGTGTTTACTGTAAGTTGTAAAATGTGTAGATTATTAAGCTAAGAATCTTAATGACAAATTCGATTCACTTGCAGAAATCTTGCTTAATTATTCGAGAACCTGGTGGCTCCCCCTGCCGAATAAAATTATTTTACCGAGTAAAAAGTAAATTACATTTAGAATGGAGCGATAATTAAATACTTACCTTTTACTCTATAGTCAAATCATCATTCTAGCCATTTTTGGCTAAGGCGGAGATTTTAACTTAGAGTTAAGTATCCCGTAGTTTTTTATTTTATTTTTATTCTTGCCTTCAGGTAACTAAAACATTAAAAAAAATTAAAAAGGCCAAATTTCGTGGGCGAATGCAGCCAATTTTGACACCAGAAAAATCGTGAAAAACAGAGAAAATTTGAAAACTGTCTATATCATTGTTTGGGACCTGCAAGAAGGTATCTTTATACCAAATCCCATGTAAGTTGATTGACATACACATGAATAGTTCACAAAAATCCCAAATCGTACTTTCCTCGCTGAAAAATTGAGCAAAAGACAAAAATCCCAAAATTGTCCATATCTTTCTTTGGGACCTACAAAGAGCATTTTTGTACCAAATTTCGTGTAGATTGGTCTAAACAATGCCAAGTAACTGACCAAAACTCCTAAAATTATGGGTTTATTTAACCTCTTTACCCCCTTCCCTAAAATGACCAAGAACGAGTATATCCCAAGAGTATATATTTCTACCAAATCACATGTAAATTGGCCGGAAAAAACCTAAAATTATGCTTTTGGTGACATCTTGACCCTCTATAATAGTTAAAACGGGGAATTCCACAATTTTTTGTTTGTCAATGTGTGGGACCTTTAGAAAAGTATCTTTTTACCAAATCCCGTGTAAATTGTTCAAAATATGGCCGAGTAATTGACCTCAAACCACAAAATTGTGCTTTCTTTGTGAGCTATGACACCGTATTTACATTTTGATTGCTATAAATATGACCGCACAGGAGCCCAAAATATACATTGTAGTTGTTTGACTTTTGACTCCATAAAATCCTTAAAGAGTCCTAAATTAAAAAATAAAAAATAAGATAGGATCTGGGCTTTTTGGACTAATGTATAATCCTACCAAGTTTCAAGTCAATCCGCCGAGAAATGATGGTTTGTTTGTAATTAATCACAAAGCTACACAATGGGCTATCTGTGCTCTGCCCACCACGAGTATCGAAACCTGGATTCTAGTGTTGTAAGTCCACAGACATGCCGTTGTGCCACTGGGGGGAGGGGTGCAAAAATAAGGGAATGACGGTCGATTGAAAAGTGTTTGATAGAAGAATAAGAAACAATATACAAACGGTATGTCTCTCTGCAGAGCAATAATGAGACTCCAGAAGCTAGGTGCAAGACTGAATTGTCTTTCAAAGCTATTTTTGCTCCAGATATATCAAGAGATCATAGAATTAAAATATGGTGAGCATTCTTTTCCAGGAGAGTCGATGGATAAAAATGGCATAACTTATTCAAGTGTGACAGTTCTTATGAATTTCGATAAACTTCGAGTTTTTGGTCATATTTCAGCGTGTTGATGATAGAGCATTAGTTGTCTACGAGATATGTGCTTGTGTCGTAACCCTAAATTCCAGCCTCTTATCCTCACAGATAGCGAAACTATGTACAGCCCTTCTGCCTCAGCAGACATATTAGAGCATACTTTAACCTCGTGCCCACCAACTGTATTCAGAAATATTACGTGGGGCTGGACAAGAAGAGGACAAGAGGCCACTGAACCTTGTCCCAGGGGGTCTGTAGGTAAGAATAATTATTATTATGTCTATTTTTTACCCAATGCAAAGCGTGGACTTTCCTTTACATTCCTGTATGTGTAAACAAGTTACATGTTCTCCTGTCTTTCTTTAGTTTTATTGATTTCAGTTACCAAATTGGGTTGAACCAAGATAGATGTAAAGTGCCAATCACTTCCTCGTTTGCTTAAGTTCGTTTCTTATAGTTGTCAGTTACCCATCCTTTATTTATGACCTCAATTCCGTGTACATGTGGGTAACTGAAAAGTCTATATTTTATTTTTGTAGAGGGGTTGGATGGTAGTTTACTTTTAAACAGTGTTCTGAAGAGCATTTATTGATAACAATATTCAAATGTAGAACCATGAAAATAATTATAGATATTCTCCTTTTTAGCTCTCTTTCATTTGCTTCGAACAGCTCTATGATTGGTCAATTCGAACAGCTCTATGATTGGTCAATTCGAACAGCTCTACGATTGGTCAATTCGAACAGCTCTATGATTGGTCAATACATATTCCGCATTTACTAACTTTGTTTATTTGAGCATATGTTTGTCTCTCTCTCTGTCTACATAATCGGCACAGGAAATGTATACTGCACACACAAACACATACACACTAGTTATTTATCTACTGTAGTGGACGCGAACGTGTCGAGTAGGTTCGGTCGTTGATCATTAAGCTGTGCATGAACCTAAGATTAATTAACGACGAACTCTAAAGTAGGCTAACCTATGCTTCAGTATTAAATATGTTATTACGTTAAGTATTTAAGCCCCCGATGACTGCTCCTGATAAGTTAATATGTATTATTTCCACAGGTTATAATAAACATAAAACATCTATAACTGACTCTCGTTGGAAAATTACAAGTTTAAATCACATCAGTGTACAACGTCATTGCAGTGATTTATTATGTTTTAAAGCTTAAAGTACGTAGAACTCTTTATATTTCATTTAAATCCACTTTCTGTATACACACATCTTATATGTTCTGTGTTTTTTTATTGCCAAAATAGAAGTGATTAAACAACATAGGTGTGAAACAGAAACAATACAAACGTTTTCTAAGCACCAATGTTAAGCTTGTTAGTTAGATTGTTTGTTTTGTAATTAAGCACAAAGCTACACAATGGTGCTCTGCCCACCACGGGTATCGAAACCCGGATTTTAGCGTTGTAAGTCCGCAGACATACCGCTGTGCCACTGAAGGGGGAGGGCAATGTTAAGCTATTGGGCTGCCCTCCCCAAGTTAAGGCTATTCATTAATCTAATTTTATATTTATTTTAGAATTGAACCAATGACATATCTCATTGCCCCCACCTCCGCAGTTAAGAAAAGCCGGAGCCAGAACTGTTTAAGTATTATTATATTTTTTTTTTTCTACCAGGTTTAGCCAAGTGGTATTGTGTGGATGCGGTCACTTCGGTCCACTGGAGCGGTGCTTCGCCAGACCTCAGCAAGTGTCGGTCACCATGGGCGGAGAGCCTGAAGAGCAGAGTATAGCAGATTTTAACAAATTTTACTGTTACATTAAAATACACCCGTATAGCAGATTTTAACAAATTTTATTGTTACATTAAAATAAACTCGTATAGCAGATTTTAACAAATTTTACTGTTACATTAAAATAAACTCGTATAGCAGATTTTAACAAATTTTATTGTTACATTAAAATAAACTCGTATAGCAGATTTTAACAAATTTTACTGTTACATTAAAATACACCCGTATAGCAGATTTTAACATATTTTATTGTTACATTAAAATAAACTCGTATAGCAGATTTTAACAAATTTTATTGTTACATTAAAATACACCCGTATAGCAGATTTTAACAAATTTTATTGTTACATTAAAATACACCCGTATAGCAGATTTTAACATATTTTATTGTTACATTAAAATAAACTCGTATAGCAGATTTTACTGTTACATTAAAATAAACTCGTATAGCAGATTTTACTGTTACATTAAAATACACCCGTATAGCAGATTTTAACAAGTCTTTGATTATGTTTATGTCTAATACAATTATCAGTATAATTACAACTTTTAGTTGAAATTGAAAACTTAGAAATAATGCATAAAACTAAACGTGTAGAAATATTTCCTTGTAATACACAATGTTTTACTTTTTTTTTCCTAAGGAAATTGAGCAAAAGTTTTAAGGAAAAAAAAAGAAGAAAAATTAAAGTAAAGAAAAACAGGAAACGGTGAAAGAAGCGTTGGAATTATACAATTAGAGAAGATCGGTTTAATTGTCTTGAATTAAACATCTTTTTTTTTTCAGATCGATGGAGGAGACTCCGTCGTTGGCATAGCAACAGAGCTGGCAGTGATCGCCCGTACCAAACCTTTATATGGAGGCGATATTCCAGAGACTTCAACCATCCTTCATCGTATTGTGTCCAAGATGGAGGACAGATCTCAAGACATTATAGACGAGAAACAGAGATATTATCTAATACTGGAGATGTTAAATGTAGGTTACAAATATTACACTTACCTTTATACTTAATGGGTAACCAAATGATATTTAATATATTACACTTACCTTTATACTTAATGGGTAACCAACTTATATTTAATATATTACACTTACCTTTATACTTAATGGGTAACCAAATAATATTTAATATATTACACTTACCTTTATACTTAATGGGTAACCAAATGATATTTAATGTATTACACTTACCTTTATACTTAATGGGTAACCAAATTATATTTGAAATATTACACTTACCTTTATACTTAATGGGTAACCAACTGATATTTAATGTATTACACTTACCTTTTTACTTAATGGGTAACCAAATGATATTTAAAATATTACACTTACTTTTATACTTAATGGGTAACCAAATGATATTTAATGTATTACACTTACCTTTATACTTAATGGGTAACCAAATGATATTTGATATATTACACTTACCTTTATACTTAATGTATTGCATAATTATTAGTTTAAAAGTCGAGAAACTACACTTTTAAAAATTTTTAAGTTAAAGGTTAGAAAAATGGAAGCCAGATAAAAATGTTTTTCTGATTTTAATCGTGGTAAGAAAACAGAACGCTTTCGTTCCCATTTTCTTTACTTTTCCCAAATATTTATAACAGTGTGGTGTACCATGTGAGTCATTGTTACTTCGTCACAAGTCATGTTAACCAACATGACGGGTGACGTAACATTAATTACATAAGAAAAGCATGTTAAGACTGCCAACTTCTCCTCGAAACGTGACGGTCAATCCCTCTATTCGTTGGTAAAAGAGTAGCCCGAGAGTTGGCGGTGGGTGGTGATGACTAGCTGCCTTCCCTCTAGTCTTACACTGCTAAATTAGGGACGGCTAGCGCAGATAGCCCTCGTGTAGCTTTGCGCGAAATTCAAAAACAAACAAACAAACAATCTGTGCTCTGCTCACCACGGGTATCGAAACCCGGATTCTAGCATTGTAAGTCCGTAGACATACAACTGTGTCACCGGGGGGAGCAAAGTTTGTTTGTAATTAAGCACAAAGCTACACAATGGGCTATCTGTGCTCTGCCCACCACGGGTATCGAAACCCGGATTCTAGCGTTGTAAGTCCGCAGACATACCGCTGTGCTACCTGTAATCGAATTATCAGAAAACTCTGTTTAAAGCTAGATAATTACATAAATCGGAACTTTAAAATAAGTTAGTAAATAATATAGCTAATTCCATATACCGGTCTAACTAAATATGTTTATGTTTTATATTCATATAAAGCAAGTCGCAAGAAAAATTGTGTTAGAAAACATTGATTCATCAGTTGAGTACTTTGCTCTTATCGACATTTTCGGTCGTTATCCTAATAATATCTCACCGGGTTTTCTGAGTTCAGTTTATTTTTACTTAGAAATACGTAAATAGCTAAGCAGTATTTTGACGTTGATTATTCGAAGTCTGTCCAATGATGTATGTTACAGTCTGTAATGGAAATAGTGAGTGGACTTATGGAGGACTTCCAGCATCAGGCCTGGCGAGATATGTCCACCAGTCAACAACGTGTTGCAGCTTCTACGTTGATTGAAAGACTGGAACAGATCACGTGGGTACTCGCCAATACCAATTCCTTCGGGGATCGATGGGTTCACGTAGAGAACAATATATGTAAGTCAAGTTTAAAGTTTCCTCTTTTATACAAATACTTCTTTGAAGGATTAAAATCATATAGCACTTTCTTCTGTTGGGGATTTCCCTTGGAAGATTCGAGTCATCGAGCACTTTCTTCCATGGCCGAGCATGACCCAATAATTGAAGTGCCGGGCTATGGATCTGTAATCACCACACACACAAAAACTACAACAAAAACATATATATATATAAATTGTGCTCTCCACTTTGGGGCCGTGGGTTCGTTATAAGTGTACGATCAAATCCCTCTATTCGTTGAGACAAGGGTAGCCGGTAGATGCTCTTGACCAGTTCCATCCCTCCAGTATATGATTTCAAAATCAAAGACGACTGCGGCGAATACCCCAAAACAGACAAACTCATCAAATCATCTAATACGTTCTTCTGTAGAGCATTTCAAATCAACGACTGATTAGCAAGTAAATATGTACTAAAGACTTTATTGGTTGAAAGCGGAAAGTTTATTCAGAAAGAAAAAGCTCTAAGATAATCGATCTAAAAATTGCTTAGGTTTGTTTGGAATTTCGCGCAAAGCTACACGAGGACTATCTGCGCCTAGCCGTCCCTAATTTAACAGTGAAAGACTAGAGGGGAGGCAGCTAGTCAACACCACCTACCACAAATTCCTGGGGCTACTCTTTTACCAACGAATAGTGGGATTGACCGTCACATAACAACGCCCCCACGGCTGAACGGGCGAGCATGTTTCGTGGGACGGGGACTCAAACCCGCGACCCTCAGATTGCGAGTCAAGCGCTCTAACCACGTGGCCATGCTGGCCCAATTGCTTAGGATATGACCACTGAAACTTGTTAAAGCAGTATCTATAAAGCTATATATACATATATCTTAAAACAAAAAAACAAGCACATGTTCAGTCCGTTAATTTCTGTGTGAAATGAACTGTAACTAAAATGGAACCTTTATACTGATCCTAGCTTGTAAGTGGATTCCCTTCTTGATGTACAAAAAAAACACGCTAATACGTATATACACAAACTAAAGATGTTGTATTCCTTCCCTTCGGAAGTGTATATTTGCATTTAACTTTATTATCACAATCTACATTAAAAGCAAACTTTCTAGTTGTCTGCTGTAAAATCTGCCCGATCACGATTTAGAATTTTTTGTTTTGTTTTGTTTTTATAGTAGTCTCAATTCGTTTGGTCCAGACCTGGTCAGTAACGACCTTACAATTTCCACTAAGTGAGGAGGTGGAGGGCACAAGTTGGGATCCAGTAAGAGACGTCATCTTACTACCAGCCACAGCATTAGTCGGAAGTGGAAGGAATGGTAATAGAGCTTATCAAGAAAACCTCTTTCTTATTCTTTACTTCCGATTACTTCCGAAGTAGGCTTATCTGCTTTCTTTGTGTGCTTTTAGCAGAAAAACAACAACAACAACTAACAATATAAACGTTTGACGTTATCAAGTCTTATTTGAAATGGTATTTTTTCGAAGGTAGTTTTGAAAAACGTTCATTTAGTAAAAGTATAAAGCATCAGGCAAGTTTAGAAGTAAAAAAAAAAAAGGCTATTATATTTTAAATATAAAGTGTATTTATTCAACATATATAAACCTGAAATGGTGTATACAACTTACTCCCTGCCAATACTCATCAAGGTTTGATTTATCCCGTCTCCGTACAGATAATTTAAAATAAAATAAACAAATGTATTCACCTTATTAAAAGTAGGGTCACGTTTCTTCTCACTGTATAAACCTTCTGAGTTTAGCAAGAACGTGTTCCGTACGCTGCGTATTTCTATTATGTGCGTATTTTTAAACTAGGTCGTGTGAAGATTGTTTTCATAGCGTACAGAAATGTTCAGAACTTTACCCCTCTTGAGCGAAATCTTCCAGTATCTAATCGCTCGAATGGCGCTCACAACAGAATGATCAACTCACGAGTCCTCAGCGCCTCTATAGATCACCATCGAATGACACGACTTCACCAGCCCGTGACTGTTATCCTGAAACATTTACAGGTACAAATGATTAATTTCAATTTTATATCCTTCATTGATTCTTTATTTTTAACGCGAAATGAATCTGTTATCCTGAAACATTTACAGGTACAAATAATTAATTTCAATTTTATATCCTTCATTGATTCTTTATTTTTTTAACGCGAAATGAATCTGTTATCCTGAAACATTTACAGGTGCAAATATTTAATTATTATTTTATATCCTTCATTGATTCTTTATTTTTTTAACTCGAAATGAATAAGAAAATTATTGGTTTGGTTGGTGTTAAGCGCAAACTACACAATGGACTAGCTATCTGTGATCTGCTCACCAAGGGTACCAAAACCCTATTTTTAGCGTTGTAAGCCTGAAGACTTATCGCTGAGTCACTGGCTAGCTATCTGTGATCTGCTCACCGAGGAAATCAAAATCCTATTTTTAGCGTTGCTGATACCCTTGGTGAGCAGACCACAGATAGCTAGCCAGTGACTCAGCGATAAGTCTTCGGGCTTAAAAACCCTATTTTTAGCGTTGTAAGCCTGAAGACTTTTCGCTGAGTCACTGGGTGGGGTGAATGAAATGTTTATTTTCTACTGAGTGTGGCCTAGCGTTTAATATGTCAGGACTATAAAGCTGAGGGTTAGTAGTGGTTTTCAACTCTTTGCCGCAAAAGCATGCTTTACACTTTGGAGCCATAACTGCTTTATACTGTTCTCACTAATCGATCAGATAATAGTAGCCCAAGAGTTGGAGGTGGGTGCAATAAATTATCTGCCCTCTCTCTAGTCTATCAATACAAACTTACGGATGCCTTCGTGAGGATAGCTCCTGTGTAGCTTCGAGTAAAATATCAGTAAAACAAAAAAATCAGCGGTCATTAAAAATTCTTGGAAATAGTTTTGTTTTCGGCTTTTGTCCCTTTGGTTTGATTATTCGTTCGTTTCCCATAAATATAAGTTACAGCTAAACGAAGTCGTTCGAAATAGGACTGATTTTATAATTTATGAAAAGTATCAATTTTATTTCTGTGTGCGCGTGTAATAAAGAAAAGTTGAAATAAAAACACATTTTTCATAATACTTTGTAGCCCCCTATGGCACAAGGATTAATCTGAAGGTTTAAAACGCTAATAACCAGATTTGTATACCTATTTTTCATAATACTTTGTAGTCCCCTGTGGCACAAGGATTAATCTGAAGGTTTAAAACGCTAATAACCAGATTTTTATATACCCATTTTTCATAATACTTTGTAGCCCCCTGTGGCACAATGATTAATCTGAAGGTTTAAAACGCTAAGAGCCAGATTTTTATATACCCATTTTTCGTAATACTTTGTAGTCCCCTGTGGCACAATGATTAATCTAAAGGCTTAAAGCTCTAAGAACCAGATTTTTATATACCCATTTTTCATAATACTTTGTAGCCCCCTATGGCACAAGGATTAATCTGAAGGTTTAAAACGCTAATAACCAGATTTTTATATACCAATTTTTCATAATACTTTGTAGTCCCCTGTGGCATAATGATTAATCTGAAGGTTTAAAACGCTAAGAACCAGGTTTTCATACCCGTGGTGGACCCATTGTGTAGCTTTGTGCTTAACTACAAACAAACAAAAACATTTTGAAAATAATATTTTTCATTTTAAAATCGGACATTTTGATGTTGTTGTTTTTTAATTCTGATCCGTGTAGGCAGTTTCCGTCGATCAGAGGTCAATTCTAAATATACTGGATTCGAAAATAAAATATTTTAATTGTCTTTATATTTTCATGGCATTGTTTCACTAATTGTACCTCTGTGGCTTAGCGATAAGCTTGAAGACTTATAAAGCTAAAGTTGAGAGCCCATTACGCTTAAAACAAGCAAACAAACAATAAGGCTTTCTAATTCTAGAAAAGTTTCAGTGCAATCTATCGGCCCCCCAGTGACACAGCGGTATGTCTGCGGAGTTACAACGCTAGAAACCGGGTTTCGATACCCGTGGTGGGCAGAGCACAGATAGCCCTTGTGTAGCTTTGTACATAATTAAAAACAAACAAACAAAACATGCATTCTATCGAAACTTTTGGATTTTTGTTGAATTTCTGGGGCTAAAGAGTTTTTTTTAAGTATTTTAATTTTATTCTAAAAGTTAAGAAAAAAAAACGTTAGATTATTTCTCAGCTAACTCAGTAATGATCTCTATGTCACTTAAGTGAAAGAAGAACATTTTGGTTTCTTATTCATTCAGAACACGAACCAGTTCTATGACAGTCCCCTTCTATTCAGCTAGTTTGTTTCAGAACACGAACCAGTTCTGTGACAGTCCCCTTCTTTCAGTTTGTTTGTTATTTTTAGCTGAAATGAACACTATACTGTAGATTGGCAAGTTTTATAATGTTCACACACAAAAAGTTTATTTTTCAATTGCAGGAAGAAAATGTCACCAATCCACAGTGTGTCTACTGGGAGCTTAGTACGAGGTAGGCTGAAATTTGATATCTGTATGTTAGAGCGTGTCAGAAGGCAACACTTCCACCCAGTACGGTTACCAAACGAGGTGTAAAAGAATATAGTTCGTTCACCGATATATCTCTGGTGTGTCTACACATAAAATATTTAACAATTACAAGTTTAAGCATAGTGTGTCATATCTACGAATTCTGAAATATTGTGTATGTATGCCTCTATTCTATGTATACAATAACTCTATTCTATGTATACAATACGTCTATTCTATGTATACAATACCTCTATTCCATGTATACAATACCTCTATCCTATGTATACAATACGTCTATTCTATGTATACAATACCTCTATTCTATATATACAATACCTCTATTCTATGTATACAATACATCCATTATATATATATATATATATAATACCTCTATTCTATGTATACAATACCTCTATTCTATGTATACAATACGTCTATTCTATGTATACAATATCTCTATCCTATGTATATAATACCTCTATCCTATGTATACAATACCTTTATTCTATGTATACCATACCTCTATTCTATGTATACAATACCTCTATCCTATGTATACAATACATCTATCCTGTATATATACAATACCTTTATTCTATGTATACAATACCTCTATTCTATGTATACGATACCTTTATTCTATGTATACAATACCTTTATTCTATGTATACAATACCTCTATTCTATGTATACGATACCTTTATTCTATGTATACAATACCTTTATTCTATGTATA